GTTTGTGTGTAAAAATAATGGAGTCTTATTTGAAAATCAGTTGCTACAGATTGGATTGAAATCTGAATTTCGGCAGAACCTGGGTAAGAGCTTGCTGGCCAAATGGCTGGCTGTCTGCATTATCAAACCCAGTGCCAGCACGATATTGTGCATAGGACTTATTTTTCAGCTACTTGAGGAAAATGTGATTTCAGGCTTAACCTGTCTTCAGGATCTTCGCTGTTGTGTGTCCCTGGCTTCTGTGCGAGTTCTTGTTTCCTTACACTTCCTAAAACTGGTCATTTTGGTAGCTAAGGTGAAATGGGAGTGTTAAGTGGTATTGTAAGATCCAGCCCTTCCTGCCTAGTTGTACAGCTGGTACAGCTAGGGTTATAAAGGAGCGCTCTCTTCTGTTTTTACATCTTACAATATAGCTTACTGTAATAATATACACAGTATATCGGTATTCACAGAATCACAATCACAGAATATCAGGAGTTGGAAGGGACCTCGAAAGCTCACCCAGTCCAACCCCTGCCAGAGCAGGATCACCAGACCAGGTCACACAGGAACACGGCCAGGGGGGTTTTGAATGTCTGCAGAGAAGGAGACTCCACAACCTCTCTGGGCAGCCTGGGCCATGCTCTGGCACCCTCACAGGGAAAAAGTTTTTCCTCATGTTCAGGTTGAACCTCCTATGCTCCAGCTTGCTCCCATTGTCCCTTGTCCTGTCATTGGACATCACTGAGCAGAGCCTGGCTCCTTCCTCCTGACACTCGCCCTTTACAAATTGATAACCATGAATGAGGTCACCCCTCAGTCTCCTCTGCTCCAAGCTCAAGAGCCCCAGCTCCCTCAGCCGCTCCTCATAAGGGAGATGCTCCACTCCCTCCATCATCTTTGTGGCTCTGTGCTGGACTCTTTCAAGTAGTTTCCTGTCCTTGAACTGAGAGGCCCAGTTCAGACATGTCTGTCATCATACATTAATGCACAAAGATACTGAAAACATCTAGGAAAGAGCTGGGAATTGAACACAGGCCAGCACTAGGATTGCTTGCTTTTCCCCTTCTGCATCACATTTGGTACCATAATGGCTTCTTTACATAAAAGCTAATGTTCTCCAGCAACTGAAGAGTTCCACTGATTATTTAACTGCCTGTGTGACAGTTACTGTGGGAGAAGTCTGGTTTGTTTTAATCCGTTATTTTGGTTTAAACTGCAAATATCTTGGTAAGATAAATGATGTAACTTATGTTTTGTTTTTAAAAGTTGTTTTAAAGAAAGATATAAAAAGACAGTGTATTAGGTGTTTGCAGCACAAGTAGTTCAATATGAATACATGTGATGTACCAAAAAATCCTGATGTCTTTTTTATTCTTCTCTTTCTAGGACGTATGTTCATATTCTATGGTAATAAGACTTCAACACAGTTCTTGAATTTTACTCCAACAGTGATCTGCTCAGATGACTTACAATCAAATATCCTTAAATGCAGTAGCATGTGTCTGTTCTTACTTGGGATTTATTTAAAACTTGAGTTTTATGCTGCACAAAATTACACTGAAGCTGCTGGATCAAGGCATAGTGTCCTTGAACATGAAGAAATGAGAGACTTGCTGATAACTTTCTGATGCTCTTGTAGAAAGAATAAGTCTTGAGCAGAGATGGAAGAGTCTCTCCTTAAAGCTCTGGTTACAAACACAGATTTTACTGTTGAAATAAAGAGAAATTAGGCTGAATAAATATGTAATGCAAGTCTGTAGCTTTCTCTGGTGTCATGAAGTTGCAGAGGTAATAACGTGGTGTCCTTCAAATCCTACGTTAGCAGATAACCTTAGACTTGAGATGGAGGTAGAAGAATACGTGTACACAGAGATGATGGTGCCTCAAAATAAGCTCTTACTTTGCAGTTCATCCTTAACACTTGCTATTCCAAGTTTAGGATTTGGGGGAGTAATCAAGCTTGTTTAGCTGAAAGCATCACTGTAATGTTCACATCAAAATGAGATAGTCCAGTGTATTTTTTATTAATTCTGTCTGTGCTTTCATACCTTTTTGAGGACATCTTTCTTGAAGAATATACAAATAACTGAGAATTGTGAAGGTTACTGCTTCTAGGTGTGTCGGGAGGGCCGGGGGGAGGCGGGAAAGGATGATGGGACACCCAGAACAAACAAACAAACCACTTTTCTGATGTACAAGAATTGAGCTTTGACTATTCAGTAGTGTATAGAGAATGAGTGAACACTATGCTAGTGCCTCCTGTAGCTCATGAGAGGATTTGGGTTGTTAAGTTACCAATTCATTGATCAGTTTCCTTAACCACTTCTTATGCCTGAATCTTCAGACAAAACCTGTTGACCCCACAGTGGATGGAGGTGCACAGGTTCAACAGGTTGTGAACATTGAATGTGTGTCCGACTTCATGGAAGCTCCAATCCTGAACATTCAATTCAGGTAAAACACAGGATTCAAATACAAGTGAATTAATTAAATGAAAAGTGTTAAATTTGCCCTGGTCCTCTGGCTGAAGTGTAGAATATGGACACACAGAGCTGTCTTGGGTAGATTACTTGAAAATTTGATCTAACAAAGCTTTAAGCTATTGGGAGGTAGAGGATCCACTTGGAACAATGTGGTTTAAAGCACAAAACAAAACCCAAATAAACCAAAACAAACAAAAAACCCACAACAAAACAAAACCCGCCAGCTGATCAAGAAACAGCTACTGATAAAAATGTCTCCATGACTCCTCTTTCTGCTGTGTGTATAAAAACAGCAGTCTTCCTGTTTGCTTAAGAGATCTTGACAGGAATATACATAGTAACTTCTCCCTTCTGGAAACCAAGAACATTTCTGCAAACAACTTGGATTGGAAATGCATGCATCCGAAAAGAGAATCTTATGTCTGTTCATCGCCCTTTGGGAAATCCTGATTTCTGGGCTACATGCTTTTGTTCTAGTCTAAACTGGTTCTTACTGGTGTGTTTTCACAGGGATATGTTTTCACTCCTTTGATGGCTATCTAGAAGGATAACAAACTACGTGGAAACTGAGAGATCCTTATTAGGAGTTCTGCCAAATCCCTTTCATGTGCCATCTAAGCAAAACAAATAAATTTGTCCAACAGTGGATTAAAACTGGATCTTAGAAATAGCACTATCCACAATTGATGTATTTTAATGACAAACAATTGCACCTTAATGTTAATCCTCAATTACTTGATTGAGGTTGAGACTGCTGACTCTGTGCTGTATACACCGTGTTTTTTCTATTCAATATGCAGGTATGGTGGAACATTTCAGAATCTTTCAGTAAAATTACCTATCACACTGAACAAATTTTTCCAGCCAACAGAGATGTCTTCTCAAGACTTTTTTCAGCGGTGGAAGCAACTGAGCAAGTAAGACTTTGCCTATACTTGAACTCGGGGTTCTTGTCGTGGGCCAAGGGAAGAAAAAAAGGTATACTGTGGATGTAGCTGGTGCAGTGCCCCATCCCATACTTAATCCTGTGTGTTATAAACTCTCCCAATGTAATTATTTGCTGTTGAACACTGCTTGTACGTACTGTGTTATACCGTATATTCATCCTGCCTTGCCTTTCAGTCCGAAACAAGAAGTACAGAATATCTTTAAAGCAAAACACCCGATGGATGCAGAGATCACAAAAGCAAAGGTGAGTGGTAGTGTGATATTTTTAATTCGTAGTGTAAGGGCAGGGGTATAAGCAAACTTTGTTCATCTTTGTTCGTATGGCAGTTGGATCATCCTGTTCAGTGTCAGTGTTGTGTAACAGACCCTTGGCAGTGCTGGGTTGAATGGATTTTGTGATTTGAATTAAATAGACTTCAGTAGTAGCTGGAAACGTGAAGCTAGTTAAGAAAACACCAATTCAGTGCTTAAAAGTGAATTGGATGATATTTCAAGCCTTAATTATGCTAGATTTACTAGTTAGAAAATAAAACAAACAGCTTCTTGTGGCACTGGCTGTCTTAGGCAGAACAGAAGTGACTAGTGTAAGACAGGAGTGGTTTTATCCAAACCAGGAGAGACTTAGGTTGAGTCTAATGTTTCTCAGTTGTTTTAGACAATAACTTTATTTTTTTCAGGAACAGGTCGTTAATCAGGGTCACTTCATAAATTGATTGTAGTAAAATTGGTATTGGATAATTCTTTAGTGTCTTGAACACTTAAAATAAAACTTAGTCTCCTTGTTTTGCTGGTTGGTGGTGGCTGTGCTTGGGTGGGTAGTCTTGGTATTGATGTCCTGCTGTTCCCAAATCTAAATCTTCTGGGTGTCTTTCACAGATAATTGGCTTTGGATCAGCCCTACTTGAGGAGGTAGATCCCAATCCTGCTAACTTTGTTGGTGCTGGCATCATACATACAAAAACTACTCAGATTGGATGCTTGCTGCGCCTTGAACCCAACCTCCAGGCACAGGTATCTGTTCGTGTATCAACTGCTAAATAGACTTTCTCGTTTGCACTGACATATCTGTGTGTATCTGAAACTCCTTAAGGTATTTATTTAAAATCACTGTTGCGATAGCCAATTGTGACTGCGGAGTCGAACAAGAAATTGTAGCAGCTGGTCCTGGCCCAGTTTGGTGAGGAGCTGCTGCTGCTCAGTAATTCTCTTTGCTGTTGGAAGAGATCTCCGTATTATTCCGGACTGACTGTGGAGTCTCCTCTTGAAGTTTGGAAACTTTTTAACATTTCTGTTTTGTGTACCTTGGACAAGATTAAGTGTAATTCCCTTAGCCACTTTCAGTTAACACACAAATGATTGGCAAAAAGAGAAAAGTGTAGGCGAACAAACACAATGTTAAGGATGTTTTTCCTCAAGCATTTTGATAGAGGTTTTATCAAAGTTAACTGAGGGATAAAAAGAAGCTTTGGGTGTTAAGTCTCCTGTTTTCTGTAGAGGTGGTGGTAGAGAGTCTTCAGACTTTTCCACAACATGTACTTCTCTTGAAGAAAAATTTTTGGACAACCCCTTGCTGTTAAAGCCTAAAAATATGAGAACAGTGGTAACTCTCAAGGGTTTGAAGATGTACTCCAGGCTGTGGTTTGAAAAAGCTGTATTACTCAGTGGCTGGCTGCCTCTGAATGTTTTAACTTGAGATCTTTTTCCTACCAAATCTAACAAACGAGTAAGAAATAACTGGTAGCTTTCACTACTTGACTGTGCATTCATTTAATACCAGACTGTGTTTAAAAAAATAAGTAATATTTTGTTTTCTTTCAGATGTATAGGCTCACGCTACGAACAAGTAAAGAAGCTGTGTCTCAGAGATTATGTGAATTGCTGTCAGAACAGTTTTAATATTAACCGTGTCAGTTTTGTTTTTTCCATTTATATCACTGTCATCATACTGCAAATAAATGTCTTGTACATCACTGTCTGAGTACTGCAATGTTAACCAATACCAGCTCCCTGCCTTAATAGGACTTGACCCTTGTTTGAAATTGAGACTATGAAATGTACAGTACAGGGAAGTGACTTTGACACTACAAATGGCTTTCAGTGTGTTACGCAAAGCGTGGGAGGGCTGTTGGGTTCTTTCTGTTTGGTTGTTTTTTTGTTGGGTTGTTGGGTTTTTTGGTGGTTTTTTATTTTTTTTGTTTGTTTGGGGTTTTTTGTTTTGTTTTGTTTTCCCCAGAGGTCAGGCTTTTAAACTTATTAAAAGGGAAATAGATGTGGTAACCAAGGATTTCAACTGGGAATGGCTGGTAACATTCTGCCTTTAACAGGGGATCCCTCTGAGCTGAAAGAAACCAATGTCATGCTGCTCAGTAAGGTTAATTCAGATGTTAATGTGAAGTCGAACATTGCCACAAGTCTTGTACTGGATGGAAGGGCAGATTCCAAGATGTGTTTGAATCTGATTCAAGTGCATGTTTATGTTGTGTCACTGATTTTTGTATTTGACAAATGTCACAGGACCAGAGTCTTAATGTATTATTCTCGTAATCCTTTACATCTTAATGTCTTCTATCTTTGGAAAGTGGATTGAACACAAAAGCTATGCTTAATCCTTTAGCTTATCTGAAATAATGAGGTGAACTTCTCTGGTAGGTGGTGAATGAATACATGCTTGCTTGTTAGTCAAACTGAAGTTAAATATTCTGTGTTTTTTCTGTTTCCCATCAAACTTAGCAAGTAATAGTCCCAATGATGTGATATAAAAGGTCAAGAGGGAAGAAATGGGCCATGGAAGGGCCAAGGCATGCGCTCTTTTAGATGAAAATGTAATTTAAAACAGTATTTTTATCTCCAGTGTACAGTAATGTTAAAACTTGAGAGGTTGAGTAACTGATGCCTGAACGCTTTCTTGTCTGGCAGTGGTGGTAAAAATACGCAGTATGATGTAGAAGACTTCTGCTGAGACCGAGTGTAGAAGGCCCCAAAATACACAGCTTTTATAGTGGTTTTTACAACCAAACCTTTGCTGACGTGGAACAAATCACAAACTTTTTGGAGCATCCGAGCAGAAGTGGGCACAACTTCAGCCCATGCTCTTCAAGCCTTGAGATGCAACAAAGGCTGCTAAAACAAAGCAGGTGAGGCAGTGCAGTTGGAAACTGGGGGCAGTGTCAGTGAGTGCTGCAGGCCGTGATAAATGGAGTCAACTGCCGCTGGTGAGAGAAGTGAACCTAAGATCAAGCTTTCCTCCAAGTTACGTAAAGGAAGCGTGGGACTAGTGTCTCACAACACGTACAGCCAAGTATGCCTGTGAAATAAAGGTTTCGAGTGATAGTGATTACATTGAAAAATACATTGAAATGAGGCTCCTGTTTTGCTGCCCCATGTGCAGCCGGGGATAGGATTCTACGATTGGAGTGTGCCTTTTTTTCTTCAGTGCTTTGAGTTCAGTGATGGAACTGAGTGATCATAATTTGGATTGGTTGAAGGTTAGTGATTGTAGCTGAGTGCAGGTGAAAAACGAGGAACAAAGGTTTGGCTGTGGTGTGTGGGTTTTTGGAGATTTGTTTTGTTTTTCCAGAAGTGGCTGGTAACTGTGGATGTTATGGCTGAAAACTTGGCTACAGACCTGATCTTTCTGCAAAAGTTCTCTTCAACAATTGGCTCTTTTATGGCCTTTCAAGTAGCTAGTAAAGACTCCTTGGTGACAAACTTTGTCTCTGAAAACCTTGGTGAGCAGTTCCTGCGGTCAGGTTGGGCAGTTGGCAGAATGCTAATGGACTCCATTGTGTGTTGTACTTTGAATGCCATGTGTCTCTTTATTCCTCCTGTTACCTTAACCAGGCTGGTGGCTGCTATGTTAAAAATGTGATGTGCTGAACTAAACAGTCTTAGCAAAGACAGGGGAAGAACTTCTCTCTCATTTTTTCCAAATCCTGTTGTGTATCTGTTTGGCCGAAAATGTTCTGTGCCCTCATTAAAGGACACCTTGAGACACACTGCATTAATTCAGTTCACTTTGCTTTGGGTTCAAGCTGTGCTAAAATGTGCATTAAAAACGTGGGAAGGAGGGGCGGTACGGGAAAGTGTATTTTCAGTGGTGACTGTGTTAAGCTTATGACCATTCATGCTTTGTATTAAATGTCAGCTCAATGAAGCCATGAGCAGAAACGTAAACAAATTAAGGACAAATACTTGATTATTTTTTTGTGGATGATGGTTAACTTACCAAAGTGGTGTATCCTGTCAAGCAGACACAGTAATTTCTGCAGTAAACAGTGTTATTGTTTTTAAGTACAGTATTTTCAGGCATTTACATGTGAAAATAACTGAATAGCAAAACAGGTAGCATATGTTCATTCTTGACCTACACTCCAGTATGTAACATTTATGGTGATTGTCTTATTTGTATAAAATAAAGTTCTGTCAAATTAAGTGGAGAATTTTCATATAGAAGACTATATATTAGACTATATTCATCAGAAGAACGTATTAAGATTAAATAAATGATTAGAACAGTAATCAGACTGTCTTCTTTTTGTCTGGGGGCATGGAAACGTGAAGAGTACTCACATGGAATGGCATTAGGGCACTGCAGTTGATGTGTAATGGCAAAGTCTTTCCTGCGAGCTGCTGCTGGGTTGTGCTCAGTTCAGTCTCACCTGGCCTGCAGATCTCTGCTCCCTCGGTGAGTTTATGTATGGCTTTTCGTGTTGGTGTGTTTGATCACATGTTATGATTTACATGCTGTAAAATAAACCAAACTTGATATGTTGGTGTGTTTGATCACATGTTACAATTTACATGCTGTAAAATAAACCAAACTTGATGTAAAATCTTTCTTCCTATAGTGTTTAACAGCAGGCAGGACTTGTAAAAAACCACTGGTGTCATTGTCAAAGAGTGTCTAAACTGCTAAGCAGCCTCACTCAAACTTCAAATGCTTGCTTCACATTCTTAGTACTTAGCTAAAAGTTGCTGAAAGAGAAAAAAGAACCAAACCTGAGCACTAGGAGCTTTTATACATTTATACAACTTTTTCTTCAATGAATTGTGAACAAAGTAGTAAAGAATACTCTCTGTGTGCAGCAAGTAGAAAGCGCCTGTGGGTGAACTACCTGTGTCCTGTTGGACATGTGTCCAACATGGGTTGTGCGTGGAAACTCACAGCTTTTTGTTCAGGTCGCACCTTGCTTTCTGCCAGCAGGGCGTGTGGATGACTCAAACAGGTACCGTGTCCACCTTCAAAGGGAAGAGAACAGGTTGCTGCAGTTGTCCCTGCTCCCATAGGTCCTGGTTTAACTGTAGTGAACCTAACAGACTATTTTCAGTTAAAGTAATTGGTCAAATAAAGACAAAAAGGTTAGCAAATCCTTTGACTTTATTTGAATGTCAAATGTTTGTTACTGAACAGCACGTAGGCCATTTTTTAGCCTCTGGTCGTGTATCACACTGAGCGAGTCCAGACCATCTCCGACGTCGTCTTCATCCCCATCCCCACACTGCCCATCCATTCTGTTTTCTCCTCCCCTGTACACTCTGTGTGTCCTTTCCATCCCCCACCCTTCCCCTCTGAACCCATCCTGATTAGGAATAATTTATCAGCTAACTTCTTTGACGCTGCAGCTGGCTGCTCAGGAAGCCTCGCTGCAAGGCTGTCCTGTATAATCAATAGAAGAGAACTCCCAGCAGTGAGCAGTCACTGTGGAAGCATTAAATTGTGATCAGTGTTGCATTAAAAAAAAAAAGGAGGCCAGCTGGAGGTCTGGCTAGTGTACGCAGCTGTCGAAGTTACAAACACAGCCACTAAACACCATTATTTCTGTAATGAGCCTTTTTCCAGGGCTGTCTGGGTCTTGGCATGGTAGCTGGAATTCCTTCTGGAGAAGCTGAAGTGGCCTACAGCAGCCACATGCCGTGCTAACTGTCATCTTCTCAACATTCAGCCTGTTGACCAGAGAGGGAGGAGCAGTTAGGATTTGGTACAGCATTTTAGGCTTACCACTTTTCAAGTATTTGAACACTATTTCTTTTTTATGGAGGAATGTTTAGAGGAAGAGCACAACCCTTAGAGTTTAGCAGTTCTGGCAACTCCAGAGCTACAGCCAGTGCAGCAGTCGAGTCCTCATGATGACTACTGCAGGAGTTCAGGGGTACTGAGCTTCCGCCTTCCTTTACTACAGCCAGTGCAGCAGTTGAGTCCTCATGATGACTACTGCAGTTCAGGGGTACTGAGCTTCCGCCTTCCTTTTCAAGACTGAATTTTCAAAGGGCTTATACTTACTAGGCCTCAGAACTCACTGGAAAACTAAAAAGATTTGATTTATCCGTTCTCCTTTTGCACTTTGGAAAATCATAAAGTAACTCTATTTATTTATTTTAAGGAATGCACTGGACTACTTACAGTTTGCAAAAGGCCTCTCCTATGCCTGTTAACAAAAATGCTAAACTGCATGGTCCTTTTTGCACAGTCTGGGAGGAAGGAAAATCTCCTTTCTTATGAACTGTTGGCACCAGAAGTGAAGCTGATGACTGCTCAGTGTCAATTCTGAGCTGTAAGGACAGTTGAAGTAGTGGCAGACTGGCAGTTTCTTGCAGAATTAACAGGAGTAAAGCACAGGTTGGTGAATTGATGGCTTGAGTAAGGAGGTGAGATTTAGATGTTCTGGTGATAGGACTTCTGTGATACTGTTCTGTGTTCAGCCAACCGTGCTCCTTTTTCTCCTATGATCAGTGGGAAGTTGTATAAAAGTAGGCTAGGGAATGAGAGTTACAGAACAAATATTTTTGTAAAATATCTCTGTACAGGGGAGAAATGTCTACTTGGTTTCAATTAAAACAAAACTGGTTTAGTGGTTGTGATGAGACCGAACTCTAAAAAAAAACCAACGTCTTCCTCCAAGCTTAACAGCCCTTTTGAAAACTCAAGATACAAAGTCAATCGTGTAGCCTTCAGACTGCAGCGGGACACCTGGCCTCACTTTGAAGGGGACAGCTTTTACCTTCGGGATCCATTTAAATTAGTTACTGCAAAAGCAAAATCCTTCATTGCCTTCCTAGTCTTGAGCAGTGTATTTGCTCAGATTGTTGGGAATATAACAAGGGGTTTTTTTCCCCCAAATTATTGTGAACTCCATAATAATGCTGCAGTGAGCTTAG